AACATTCAATTTTGAAAATAAATATACAACAAAATATCTATTTCTCTCAATATATTTTGTAGTTAGAATTTCACTATTTTCAAGAATAATAACTTATTCTAGACATTCAAGACAAATTTTCTTAACTATATAAAGAGCATAACACTCATACCACATCTTCCTATATCTATATAACAAGTTTTGAATTTTCAAAAATACATTTGCCTGATACTTGCTTACAACCCATTAATTGTATATCTAAATATCTACTGACATATTATTCGGCAACACTTTTCTTAAATATTTGAAAGGGTTTTAATTCTTTAGCCCTTCTTTTTTGTACACTTCTAACATAACACTCTCTATAGTTCAGATGTGTATGAAAAAACAAGAATTTGAAGACAAATTCAGGAGACAGTAGTTTAAGTAACGATGTAAACACTGCCAGATACAGATTTTCTGAAGTTTTCATTATTATGTATATCTGATTTATCTAATATTAATTCATGGTAAAATATCTAGTATATTTACAAGCTAAAAACTGTCACTGCAAGTTCTACAAGTATTATCTCTTTGCATGACATTTGCAATTCAGTCTGTCTTTAATATTGTAAGAACAGAAAAATTGATTCAAAAGCTCAAGTAAGCAACGAAAGCTTCAAATAGTGTTAATATTCATAACTTTAACATAACTTAGCAATCAAAAACTCCTCTCTGAGTCATATTAAAAAATCATAAATAGGTGATTACTGTCACACTAAGGTCACCTGTTAATTAAAGGTTGACTTGTTTAAAACTACATGTAGATGTCAAAGATGATCAGCCTCTACTGTAGATCTTATTCAGGACACTTAATAAAGTGACTATATTTACAAATTTCTTCTTATTCATTTGTATCAGGAATATACCAACTACAATATAGTATTTGATGTCGGGTTCAGTAAATTTACATTCCATGTTTGTTTATGACAATGAGTATGTAGTATATGAATAGTATATGAATAGTATATATATATCAAACAGTATTGATAATAAATTGAATCTTAAAGTCCAACACTTCATACAGACTAGGTCTAGTAGACATATACATACTGCATCTAATGTAACATTCTGAAGTAAATCATCTCAAAAGTATCATCGTTATGATATTTCATTAAGTATAAACAAATTATACAAAAAACAGTGTAGCTATTTAATATCTTATGTTATAAGAATAAATATAGATCAATATATCCAGAATTAAAACTTGATCCAGCGTATTTTAAAAATCCTAAGATCTAAGTAATACTGTTCTGTGAACACTCATCTGATAATCTGATAATTTTCTTAAAAAAGAAGTGGAGAAGGGTTACCAAGTTTATACTTCATTGTAAACTGTCACATTTGAAAATGACCTTCACACATCCTGATATCCATACACATGTTGGATATTAAAAAGAAATATAACTATTACTGTATATTAACCTCTATCAGTCAAGACTTGAACTGCTCCTGTACAATATTCTTATGATACATCTACATGTACTATTTTTCTATATATATACATCTAATGTTATATATGGCTATATTATATTTAGAGCAATATAACTACATGTAATTAAGAAGAGTAATTTCTAATTGATCTGAAAAGAAAATCCAGTGTACATGTACAGATTTAGGTGGTAAGCAAAATATAAGTTTGCAATTTGTTTTGCAAATTCTAATGCTTTATAGAATACTTTTTAAAGTTGCATTTCTTGATGGAGCATAAATATATATATATATATTTCATACTATGAATATGTCAATTCTTATTAACTGATGATACAAAAGCATCAATATAGCAATTCTATTTCAAGTTCATGGAGTCTAGAAAGATCACCATTTTCTATTTTAATTTCCATCATGGATTTCAATAATACAGATGCATAGATGCAATATAATCATCTGATTATCATTATAGAAACTTTATAAATTCTACATAAATTCATGTAATACTACTTTCTTCAGTATTTGCTATCTGACATTAAAAATGTGTAAGGGGTTAGTCCCCTAAACACTTGTATACAATTGTTTACAGAGATATGACTTAGCCTATAACAAGGCAACACTTAGTCACATAAAGATTAGTGATGCACATATCCAATGTACATTATAATATTCCTTTTTTAAAAGGAATACAAGTCAGATATTTCATGTCCAACATCAAAGCAAAATTTGCATGTTGAGAGAAAAATCTTCCTGTTTTCATTTGTATAGTTCAACTTCTTTAACATTCATTGCTGCTACCATTTGCAATCTAATAAATATATATTATAGCTTATCATATCTAGTATCATTACTGAGATTGTAAAGCACAATTTGTCTTATCAAAATAAGCACATTTATACAATATTATCTGCAAGTCAAAATATGGACTTTTGAAAAGAATCTTCCTTTCTTGGCAGAATCTAAATAATTTTTATAGCTGTATCTCAAACTATATTTTACAGTAAATAGTTGTTTACTATTACTTATACCTTGTAGACAGCAAGATCAGGATCTACAATTGTGTTCTGATTAATGAGAACAATAACTTTGAACTATTTCTTCAGAAAAAAATAACTGTTTATCTATTCTACATGTTCTTAGGCTTTGTTTGTTATATTCATAATTAATGTTATAACAATGCCAAGATATAAGACTAAAAACTCTATTGTCTTATTTCAACTATGTGTGGATATCTTTTATACAGACATGGTAATAAATGTACATGAATGTATCATTTTACAAGTGTCAAATAATTTTATTCATAATCTGAAATCTACATTGATGAATTTCAAGGCAAAGATAAAACCATCCAATGGAAATTATTTTTATTTTCTTCCACACTATGCATATATAAGGAAGTTTTAACGTCCTTGACTGACTATACAGCCCTTGCATGGTTGGTAACACTATGCATGTTATGTCAACATCATAAAAAGTATCCATGAAAAAAGGAATCTACATCTGACCAATGCATGTCAGTCATAAAATTTTTTTTTTTTTTTTTTTTTTTTTTTTTTTTTTTTTTTTTTTTTTTTAGAAGATCCTTTGATCTTTCTTTTTTAATATTTGATATCAACTAGTATTTTTTTGATATGTTGGCAACATACTTCTCACAATTTACAACACTATTATCATATTGTACTTTTTCTTTTTCAAAAGCAAAGAACTAAAGTTAACAATGAGCAATGCTCCTCTGCTTTATTTTTTGCCAAGATAAAGATATAAAATCTTGCAGGATATTGTTTGTTTATCTTCATCATAGTAAAGACATGAGATTAACTTCATGTACGGAATTATGCAACAAAAGTTTGCATTTTAAAACTGCATTGTTGCAGATTTCTTCAAACAATAATAATTGTTTTACTATTACTTTCTACAGTATGTTTCTACTTAACCAATTGTTTGTTAGTGGCATGTTAAATGCTCTACAAGGAACTTGCTAATGTTCCCCCTTCGACCTATTTCTGGTCAAGTTTGCCGTGATATTCCACTGGCCTCTCAATATTCAGATAATCACATAATATTATTTCTGTAAATGTTTCAACTGTAACACAGTTTTATTTCTCACTAAGAGCTTATTTTGAAGCCTTACATGGCTTTGTATATTACAGATACACATATTCTTGATAGTTTCAACAATATTGTAAGTTCATTCGAAACTGTTGTCACATTTATGACACACCAAGGACTTATAAAAGTCTCTAGGCTCATTAATTTCTTTAGACAAATAAGCTTTTAAAAATTAGCTATTTGATCATTATTTGATATAACATATCTTTAGCAAAGGTTTTCAGATACCTTAGATTGGAAGTGGCACATAATGCCTTCCGTATTATCACTAACTTTGTCTATTTATAGTAACACACATACAGGTGTATATCGACAAGTAGTCTAGCATATTCCAATGCACTACATTACAGTTTCTTATATTGGAATAAGAAATGTATTTTAATCACAACATTTTGTGATAATAAAATCTCAAATATATTTGCTATATTTTCTATAAATTGTACGTCACTACGTGGGTACATTATAGCAAGAATATACGAGTACACCTTCGTACATTTTACACTTACCTTGAAAATCAAGAAAGATATTCTACTCATATACTTCCGTATAGAGATTCATTCGTGTTAAAATAACTACGATAATGTATCAATTTATTTAGACAAAAAATGTCAAAATTATTAAAAAGAGAACACGTTCGGTCCACCATTGATTACGTGATAAGCACCTGTGTGTTACACACCACAGTACACGTGTATTTTCAGAACAAGGTTTAGAAAATAGAACAACGATAAAATACGTTGTATTTAACGAACTTTGATATAAAGTTCTCAAGATAACTAATGCTTATTTATAAAACATTTTTTACTGGAACAACGTTCTCAGTTTTACAAAATCTTAAAATTCTGGACGTCGTCACAGATTATAACGCGTTAGACACCTCGCTGCTCGAAAAATAATATGATTGGCACAGGTAATAGCCGCAGTATTTATAGCTAGGTATAGCTACGTCATACCCATAGGTCAAGGATTTTGACCTCTTTTAAATGAGATGCCTCGTTGTACATCGGGAAATGAATGCTATAGTTACATCCTCGAAGAGCCGAGGAGCGTAATTAGTAGAATACATTGTACGCTTTTAAAAACTCAATCATGAAACATTTGCGTGTCACGTATACATTTATATTCATTTTAACCCTATGACCATATTTTGACAAAATCTTTCAAAACTTCAAAGGTACGAAATTTTACAAATTAGCCTCAATGTCACATACAAAAATGACATAATAAGTCACTGACAACTTGATAATCGTTTATTTAATGGAAAAGATGACACTTTCGATTACGACATCTTACAGAACTTCTCTATTTTACTCAGGAATGACTCCTTTCTTAATTCATTGACGTTATACAAATTGTGCTTTTGCGAGGTGGTGGATAAGTATAATTAAGATAGTTGCAGATAGCATATGTTTAGAGAGAAAAAAAAATACTTCATTCTTCATTCTTTCATTGATCTATCACAGTATATTGTCCAGATATTTTATTACATTTGAAGACATGACAATTAGAACATCATAAGATATTCTTTCCAAATACGGCAGGTCCGTGAACAACTCCGTGTTCAATTATCATGTTTAGAGTTGCATTGGTACCTTTTTGATTTTGTTTCTATCCATAAATCTTCACGTTTGTCTTTGGCCCATTCCTGTACTTCGCCACGAGCTAAACCTCCAAACACCAACGTCCCAAGTATACAGAATGCTGCACATACGTAAAATACATTTCGTCATTCTTCTGAGGTATCCTGCAAAATAAATACATAAGACCTGTGTTTGAATCTCGAATTTAACGTCATAGAAATATTAATATCAACTGAAATATTAAGCATTGCTTCATCATAGGTATATGAATGACGAATATAGGACTATCTCATAATTAACATACAAAATACGACGGTACTGAAACATCAACTATCAAATTTCATATAAAGGTTATATTAAAACGTATAGCATTGGTTAAATACACATATAATCTGTTTGATTAAACCGTCGCTCCTCATGGTTTTACAAAAGTTGAAAGTCATTGCTATAAACATTTCGATTGAAGACGTTTCGATTGAAGGCATGTTGCCTCAAACAAATCATATTTTTCGAATCATGACTGACTAATTACATTTGAAGCTTAACCAACACTTAGCATATCATTCGGCTAAAAACGATTTAACTATGACAATGAGATGACGAAGAGCAATTTTATTACGATATTGTTTTGATAAAAATAGAATTTCATAACAAGTTACGCAGAGTATATAATTGATACTTAAACAGGTAGTTACAAAATGACAGATTTACATCAAATTATTGCAAATAGTGTGCTTTTATTTGTGTCCTGTATATACCATGATAAAATAAAAATTAAGAAAAAAATACATTATAAACTTCGACCTGCTAGTCAAATGCGTTTTGTTAAAATATACTTTTTCACTTTTTTGGTCTTTTGGAAAATGTTGTTTGTGCTGTATTTAGACCACTCTACCAAGAAATTTGTTTTGCATGCACACGTATAAAAATTGCGGTTTTATATCCAACGCAATCATAGGTTTGAACGTTGTTTTCAATTTAGACTTGTATATATATATGTATACTAAGTGAACTGAATTATTGAAATATTGGGAGTCAACTTACATTTGGTGTAAGCGCACCTGCCACAATCGGAGCAATCATACCAGGTATCGTTCCAAATGTGTTAGTTATTCCAAAAAGTACACCAGCGTACCTAAAACAAAAGTTCGTAACTTATACTAATCGGACAACATTGTACTTTAAAACCCATGTGTTTATTATATAAAAGGCTAGTCTAAAACTTGAAACCAGAGCAAAAGTTAAACCGCAAATAAACTTCAGCGTACCTCAGATTCGTTGTCATTAGAAATAAATTCATGCCATTTATGCAAATAAACAATAATTTTACACAGTTATCCGTGAGAATGTGCTATCAGAATCTAAAGCTAAAAGATGTTCAAAATTAAGCAAAACATACGTACTTTGGGGCAAAGTCATTGTGGTTAAATATGAACGCTGCTCTATTCAAACCAGTAAACATGACAGCTAACGATAAAAAAGCAACAGCCAGATCACGGTGATCACATGACATAAAACCAGTTGCTACAAGGAATACTGCTGCTCCTGTGAATGCTAAAACATGGGAAGGGTATACAAATTCAGTAAATCAAAACGGAAACAAATATTATATAAATTATGTGAAATGATTTCTTTCTAATCTCTTCTTATTCTTGTGTGTAGACAGTTGAATTAATCTGCAGATTTGGATGAGTAGATATCTTCAAATTCTGTTTCTAACGCCTTATCAATCGAGGACATGATGATCAAATAGGCAAAATTAAATCATTTCAAAGTGTTCTATAGATGACACAATTGATACTAGTTACAGTGAATACAAATTAAATTCAAATTAAAATGGGGTTGTTTAGAAGAGAAGTACGATTCTGCATTCAACATCACCTTCTACGCTAAATTCCATCAACCGTTCTCTGGCATTTGATCTATTGAGTTAATAATCTATTACATTTGTATAAGAGTTTTGGGGTATTAACGATGTATTCTTCTGACATTTCAGTCTCGTTGAAATCTCGTTCTGGAATTATTTCCAAAACATGTGATACAAGTGGAAAATATCAATGAATTTGAAAAACATTATAATCAAACTTAACTCTGTGAAAATTTACAATAAGTAGTTTTTGAGTAATAAAATTTTCAAATTTTATAACCAATCAAATCAGTCTCATTAGCCAAAATGTTGAGAAAATGGGTGAGGGGTACAAGAAATGATTTTACCAGAACCTGTACATCCCATATAATTTTTTCTTTTCAAATTTCTTAGATATGCATTTTTCTATCATTTTTAACAAAGAAGTTGAAATAATATGATTTTTGTTCTAAAAAAAAAAGAGAAAAATCCCAAATTTACAAAATTGACAATATGGTAAATTTGACACGAAAAAGCAACAAAATTTTATAAAACTTTCTTATATTAACACCTACCCATAGTTTTTTTAAGTTAAATTTATTCAGATTGGTTCACTCCATCTTTATTGAAAGTATGAAAAAAAGTTTATTTGTGAAACTGTGATTTTTGTCATGATAATAGCCCAAAAATGGGTAAAAATTGATGAAAAATGGGAAAATCATCAAAATTGGGTACTTTCAAATGGCTGTAGCAAAAAAAGAAGTGCACCACCATATGATTTTGTCTTCACCAATTATTTTTTTACAGTCATATAAACCCAAAAATCAGGTTAAAAAAAAAGTTCAATTCATAAATTTTTGGCTCCTCAGAGGTGTACACCCTTAAAGCAATAAACTTAAATGTACCAATGGCACCAGTTAATCGTCTCGTTGCTGTTGTCGATAAAATCGTTTTACTTCGTACAAGATCAGTCATTTGTCCAGCAGCTAGTCCTGACACAGCTTGGCATAAATACGGTAAAGCTGTCAGGAGACCATTCTATCAAAATTTTTTAAAAATCGAATCATAGAGAAGAGAAAATTAATTTCAGCAAAGTCGACGAAGGAGGGGTTTGTCGACATTGACTACCAATTAGGGGCTTGCAAGGTCAGAGTCTGGGAAGTTATTTTCACTTTTCAAATTTAAAGTTATGTTCACTATTCTAATTCAAAACATGCTTTAAATATATATTTGAATCGAAGTTTCAGTGGTAAAAAGTAAAATAACAAATATTCTGAACTCCAAGTGAAATATTCAAAACGGAAAGTCCCTTATAAAATGGCAAAATCAAAAGCTCAAATACATCTAACGAATGGAAAACAACTGTCATATTCCTGGCTTGGTATAAGAATTTCCCTATGTAGAAAATGTTGGATTAAATCTGGTTTTATAGCTAGCTTTACGTCTCACTTGTATGACAGTCGCATATAATTTCATTACAAAACAGAAAGTATACAAATTAAAGTATACAAATAATCAAAATTCTGAAAAAAGTAAAAAAAATACCGTGTCACAGTTTGTGATGTAACTTAAATGATTAGTAAAGCATGGTTTCTTTGTACTATGAATATAGTATCTATCACATTGAATGTAGTCTCCGATATATTGGTCTTAAATTCCTTGATTAGCAAATATCCTACACCTATATCTTAAATTGAAGATAAAATCCAAATTTAAACGAACAAACTTACACTTTTAATATTAAATTTCATAACAGACTTCATAAAATCTGGAAGGCTGGTTAGTAATGTATAATTTGTCCAGTTGTTACACATGTGAGCTGCGATACAAGCTAGTAATGCTGGTGATTTTGCAAATTCAATCCATGGCACTTTAGAGGTCTGTGAAATAAACACATTGCGTATGACATCCTCGAATAAGACATATCACACGATTTATTTACGCATACCTAACACAACTGCACATTAGATCACTACCGGTTGTTATGGTGTTGTTATGGATCAGTTTCTAGTTTTTTTTAAGTAGTGTTTTCATATACTTGCTCGTCTATTCAACGGGTTTTTTTTTTGGTTTTTTTTTATTTTTTTTTTTTTTTTGTGAAATGCTTTTGTCTGTATTTCTATGTCTTTTGATCTTGGTATGATCACTTGCTAATGTCTGCCACTCTTTTACAGAACTTTCATGGTCATTTTCTATTTCAAATGTGATACGTTCACGAGAATGGAGGGTGCACGTCACGTGTTCATAAAAATTCCTGAATCTATTTTGCTGAAGACTAACTTCAGCATTTGATTACAAAATTAATATTATTTCAAATTAAAATCAGCATTCGAAGTTTCGAATGCAATTCTCTTAATAGACGCAGTGGATTCATTTATTTCCGGGCATGTGAAGTCAAAATAGTACTTTTTAATGAAATGTTGAAATATGTTGTTTGAAATACACATAAAAATGCTTGTTTTCAAAAACTTTTGATTCATCGTTTTTGTTGTAACACAATATTCTTGGATTTCAAGTTAAGGGTATTTGTGAAAACAAAACAAAGTACTACAAAAACTTTTTAAGCACATGATACTTAAACATGTTTTTGTTTTCTCCTTGATATAATACAAACCCTTTTTGTTGTGTCAAATTCAATAGAATTGATTATGTAATCTCTTTCCTGATCAGATATCCGAGGATGTTCCGAAGGGGTATCACGTGTAAGGATGAACCAGACTACCACCCAAATACACGACAACCCACCTAAAATATAGATTAAGTTTCAGGAAGTACTTTTAATTGTCATAAATTCTTCATTTCGAAGCAATTCAAAAACAAATCTTCTTGCAAATGCAAATAGTATTTCAACTTGAGACTTGTTAAAACTTTGAAATTACTGGAAAAAAAACCCCAACTGCTTTGAATCTTTCTAAAGGAACTACTGTAACAGTTTATTTGTGTCAAACCAATTACTAGCATTTCCTCAAATGTGTCAGTCTAACTTCCAGCATTGGTAAAGGTGTCATGTGAAAAATATCAATAATGCAAATTGGTTTTAACAGTTTTAAAATGACAGACCAGAAAAATTGGTAAGACATTAATAAAATGAATGAAGCACTTTTTCACTATAAGTATTCTGCTATCCCTAACACATGTGTGTTATTTTTTTTTTTTTTTTTCAAATGTTTTATCAATTTCCTGGATCTGATTTCTAACTACAGGAAAAAACCTCATTACTTCATTAGCCATTGTGTGTACAAATGTACCTGTGATATAAAAAACAGAGCCCCATCCATTATCAAAGCCATATTCACACAAATACCCGGATGATGCAAATGTTACAACTATACCAAACATAGTCCCTGAAATAGTATATAAAAGAGGAACATGAAATTATTATATATCTTATACATGTACTCTTAAATGTCAAATCTAAAATTGAACAATACACAATGGATATATAAAAAGACCGAAGGGACAATCGGAAATCATAATTCGAAGAATTAAGGAGTGCAACAGTAGGAGCCGTAAAACGCCGAAAGGACGAACGATGGTATTCCAAACACTACATACAAACTACAAATGAGCAACACGAACTTAAGAAAATATATCTGATCCTGAGAGGTCCGTAAGGGTAGGCCAAATCTGCTTAACACAAATTTGCACATTATATATTCCTTAAATCATGACTTGGATTAATGTTCCGGAGCACCTGAGATCAAACCGATTAATTGATTTGTAATGCTCAATATAAAAACTTTCGATATTGTTTTTCTCCAGAAATAGAAAATGATGGCCCCTTTTATCTTGCCTACTTCTTACCTTTTAACTAATGTCTACTCCGAAACTATCTATCATGTACTTTTTGGCAGGGGCAAGCCCACATATATGTTTGTTTGTTTTATATCTATTGAATTATTATATATTTTTTTTAATTGGAATCGTGTAAATTCTTTTACTTCATAGCATTTGCCCAGATTTATGACAAATTTCTACAAGGCAATTTTAGCAAAGACATAATATTTTGTCTTGATATAAAGTGGACTTATCTTGTTTATATTGTGTCTTCAAATTCTTGAATATTTTCATTTAACACTTGGTAAAGGATGCATATTTAGTTTTGAAATAATATTATCAATATCCTTTAATAAGTCAAAAAGTAAAACCAAATTTACAGAATTCCAAGACAAATTCAAAAAGGAGAAGTTCATAAAAATTTGAAAAATCAAACGTTCATCTTCTTTGATTTTCCTTTTTGTTATGGTTTTGGCAATAATAATGAAGACTAATGTACATGTTTGTCCGGTGAAATAGGATTTGTAAAATCTTTTATTGTTTAAACGATACTGTGAATACATTAAACATTATTGCATAGAATCTGTAATAGTATCGGCTATGTTAAAACATGTCAAATTTAAATTTCTATAGAACATACCTACAGAAGATAACGTCATTAGTTTACTTCTTTCTAATGAGGGTGCCCATCGTCCCCAGATTGACTGCATTGCTGGAAACACTGTACCCTTAAATAATCAAGTTTTTAGCACGTTTAAGTGATAAACATTCAGAAGATACAACATAAAATACGCAAGTTTGTAAATGTTTTAGAAATGATCATTTTGAAATTTGTTAGATTTTGATTGAATTAAGATAAACTGTTTATAGTCGGTAGATTTATTATTTTTCATAAATAGATTGAATATTAACTATTCCAAGCATGGATGTTATAAGAATGTACCGTGAGCAATGCACCTGTTTATAAGGTTTTAGACCTTCAAACATTTTGGCTTCGGGCATCACTGAAGATTTATTATTTGTCGAAATACTCATCTAGTGCAGTGAACTTGGTATTGTTATTACTATTTTGGGAAACATTACGGAATAATGTAAACATTATATTTGAGTAACAGAATTTACACACATTTTTATTTCATGACATATTCGTGATATTATACTCAAAACCTTGGTTTTTATTTTATTAGTATGCCATCTGTGAAATGTATTCATTATAGGGGTAAATTCAGTAAAAAATCTCCCATTGACTTTAATGCTAATCTATGTCTTGAATTAAATTTATACCTGATTTACCTTTAGAAATTGGGAGCTTTCATATATCATTCATGAAAGTACAAATGTAGCCCTATATTTTGCAACAATAAAAACATAGGGTCATGCGGCATTTTTGGGCATTCACATGGCCTTGTTTACAAACACTGTAGATTCGCACTTAACTCCTTTACTGACCCCCATTACTTTTCAACCCTGTAGTAAAAAAATTTAGTACATTCAGCATTCATTTTTTAATTTTTTTTAACTCTAGTTTTGATCCATCTATCAAAAAATATTTATTACAAACTTTATCTTCCAATCAGAAGAGCACAGGACTTCAGTTTTGTACAGAAAGCTCTCCCCCAAATGGGCGGTCCCTGATGACGTATATTTATTTACTGAATTTACCCCTATAAGGGACTTTTTAACTTCTTTTCCTTTTTTTGTTGTATTAATCATGTAGTGTATCCAATTTTCAAGTTCCAGTTTCAATACAACATTCATAAAGGCTGAACTTGTAAAGCGGAAGGAAAATTTATACTACAGCCCATACTGCAGCCAATGTATATTTGGTATATAAAGTTGCACATTGACTGTTTTTAAAAGAATGGTGTAAAATACTATGCTTAATAAATATGAATTGTTTTCTGTGTTTGCTTTGATCAGTTTTGCAAGTACATCTAGGAACTAAAGTCTTGATGTACTTTTAGTTAAATTTTGCCTTATATGGAAGATTTTAATTAAATACCCTGAAAAAGACCACAAAAAGACTTTTCAAAGGTTTTTTAAGCAGTTTCATACCATAAAAAACAACAATTATGTTTCATTTTACTAAATCTGTGTTTTAATTACTTGTAAATTTCACAAAATGTCATTGACAACCACTCTGCAGAAATTCCTGTTACCCCAACATCAGGATGGTTTCTTCGCCAAAACTAGACTGACAAAACTGAAGTAGAAAAAAGTGCCAAATATGAAAATATGAAAAAAATAAGACTGGGTATGACCAAACTTTGTATTTGGAACATAAAAGTAACAATTTAGAATATTAAAAAGCAATTATTTAACATAGCAATCCAATTACAAACATTTCAAAACTAGTTTTATAGATGAAGGGTATATAATCATGAAAAGTTGTCTAGTATTTTTTTTTACTTAAAGAAACGCAATGAATTATGTAAAAATGAATGAATATCTTCATACGGTCAGATTATTCGAGTGTTAAAATACTTGAAAAGTGCTTATTTACAACATGATCTACAACTTAACAATGGGAACACAGCTTAAAAAAATACACTATGTCAAAGGGAGGTAATTCTGATTTTCCATATGATTTTACACATTATTAGGAGAAATATGTGCAAAATGTGATTTAAAATGGTGAGAATATTTATGCCTTTTAATAATATCATAACTTTCAAGTGTAATTTCTATTGTTTCTTTCAATCTGGACACAAAACTGATTTTTTACCATATATCCCCATGCTTCCTCCCACAGTACACTCAGAGCATCCTGGATAGCCGCGGTTAAACATAGAAATTTGTATAAAACAACTTTAACTAGTTCCAAGAGGCTTCCATTGCATTAATATTTACAGGAAATGAGTTTTGTGATTATTGTGTGGCCTTGAACAAGTACAGTGACAGAGTGCATATTTTCCTATAGGGGTAAATTCAGTAAAAAATCTCCCATTGACTTTAATGCTAATCTATGTCTTGAATTAAATTTATACCTGATTTACCTTTAGAAATTGGGAGCTTTCATATATCATTCATGAAAGTACAAATGTAGCCCTATATTTTGCAACAATAAAAACATAGGGTCATGCGGCATTTTTGGGCATTCACATGGCCTTGTTTACAAACACTGTAGATTCGCACTTATTTCCTTTACTGACCCCCATTACTTTTCAACCCTGTAGTAAAAAAATTTAGTACATTCAGCATTCATTTTTTAATTTTTTTTAACTCTAGTTTTGATCCATCTATCAAAAAATATTTATTACAAACATTATCTACCAATCAGAAGAGCACAGGACTTCAGTTTTGTACAGAAAGCTCTCCCCCAAATGGGCGGTTCCTGATGACGTATATTTATTTACTGAATTTACCCCTATATGTCAACAAAATCTAAAAGTGATTTACATTCAAAGGTCTTTTAATTGTAAACTTTTATTTATTTTACTTACTGTCGATAATCCAATGATTACACGTAAGACATACACTAAAATTACTTATGTCCTAGCACAAACTGGCGTCAAAAAGGTACAGACAGATGAAACTGCCATAGCAACTCCAAATACACGTCTCCCACCATATCTGTCTGCAACCCAGCCTCCAAGAACTTGTGTACAGATATATCCATAGAAAAATGATGCCAGAAGTGAAGATCTTGTAGTTTTGTCCCAGTCAAACTCAGCATGCTGCAATATAAATTTACTGAAGTTAACGAAGGAAGAAGTGACTAGTTATGGCAACGGCTGCGTCTCGCCACTTTCAACACACTTCGCTTTATAATGACGGTCAGTTTTATTGTTGGTTGAAGTAGGAGTACCCCGAAAAACAGCGGGTTTCTTCAACCTTATTGCTGACAGGCTAGTGACCATTGGAAATGAACTGTTTGAACCTCGGCTACAGTAATTTTACACATTGTGAAATGTATAACTAAAATCAAAATAAGATGATGTGGTATAATTGCCAATGAGTAAGAACTATCCACCAAAGTCCAAATGGTGTAGATTTAAGCACCTGAAGGACAGCACAGCACAACCTTCAACAATGAGCGAAACCCATACTGTATAGCCAGCTATAAAGGAAAATGTGAAACAACGCAAACAAAACAGTATGATATAATTGAAATCCAACTTTGTTGATATTGTAAATGAATGTACTAGTACTAAGGCAAACCAAACAACGTTTTATTTCTGTCGAACAGATACTGTACAAATGTTTATAAGTTGTATTCCGGTAGATACTTAATGGAAAAGTGTCAGTCACTTTGTCATGACGTATTTTTCTAAAAACAATTATTGTTGTCACAAAATTATGCATGATATTAGTATTTCAAACATAAATTTGTCAGATAAATTTGTATTTTTTTTATACCTTATTAAATACTGTCTGGCTTTCTGCATGACCTGCGCACGTATTTGTATCTATCGATGTCCCGTTAATATCTGTTGTTGAATTAACATTCTTAACCATACATACTATAGCAACACTCAAATTAACTCTTACAGCATACACTAACACAACTCCAAAGAATGAAGTGTATGCCAGTATCCAGCGCTGAGAACAACAACATGGAATATCTGTAATTAAAAAAAAATTAAAATCTAATCACGAGTTATTTTTTTCTTTTTCGCAGTTTAATCGTGATCACGAAAATATCTCCTCGCGCAAGTTAGAATTTTTAAAAAGTATGGATCAATCAAACAGAACAATCTCTGCTGAAACAAAAGTATAGAGATAACTATACAGCATATCTTTGTTAACAATGACGGGATGTTCTTTTCTTTTGTTTCAAAAGGGGGGGGGAGACCTATTAAAGAATAAATAAAACAAAACCAGTTCTGGGCTCAAAAATAAAACACATTTATGTAAACCATCAATTTCGAAGAAAACTTATGGTGCTAAATCCTGCAAAATGTGAAAAGAGCATCTGGCAAGTGAATAGTGACGGCACTGTGTGTACTGGTCTATTTCTTTTAAAAAAACACATTTGTTTGATTTGATTAATTCGATGGAATTCTCAAAATTGAATTTTCTATTGAATATTTGTCAATTTATTATATCGTCTGATTTGCATTTGTAAACTTGCTCTCGACCAATAAGAATTGAGAAAAAATAAAATACATTCCCAATTTTATTACGTTTTCATTAGTTTTACAATACAGAATATATGCTATGAAACGTTACCTTGTGTTTTTTTCTTTCTGTAGCATACACGTCTCATGTTTATCATTTTCTTTAATCAATTCCATCACAATTTAATATTTCTTTTTATAAAAATATCACTCAAATCCTAGATATTTGAGTCATTTTATTTTTGTATTTAGCTTATCGAGTTTACAATTTATTTTAATATAATATAAGATGCGTAAAACATATAAAACAACATAACTATCAATTTTACGTAGAATTGACATTAATGATCGCTCGACCGGATATTCTTTCTACCGGTGACAGAAATGTATATGTAAAAGTAAGAATATAAATACGTCGAATGTAGGTTGTCAATAACTAAATAGATATGTTTTTTTTTTTCTAATTCTATCTTGAGATAAGTTCAGTGCATAGAATAGATAACACTACAGTGACGTTTGATACTCTGAATATATCTTATAAAAGATAACGATTGTCATTAAAATAACAATTTATTCGATATACTACATGTAATATGCTAAGGAGATACAATGCATCAAAACGTAGAGACTGTAGTATAAAGAGTTATAAAAACTGAGGCATGTGAACGCCCTCAAGTTAAATCCTATACACCAAGTCTCTTCAAGCAAAAACAACTTACTTATAATGATGAGCTAGTGCAACTTGTGGATTTCTGATGATGAATAAATTGCAAATAAATGTAACATATATTAGATGTACATATTAAAACATTAATTTACTTATGGTGCCTTATAAGACCCTTAAAAAATCGTCAAAGATACCAGGCTCATAACTTTGTACGCTATACCCGCGTTTCATCTTTATTATACTCAACAGCGACGCTCGAATAAAAAAAGGTTCAGATGCCTAATACAGTACGAATTTGAAGAGCATTGAGGGCAAAAATTTCGAAAGGTTTCGCCAAATACCACTAATGTCTGTTTAGCGCTTCCGTCTGTATCTGTTAAAATGAAAATAACACAATAAGTATTTATTATTATCGTCCATCCGATGCGCTTTTCGAAATGTACCTTCATAATGATAGGAACGTTCTCACTCAATCATTTAAAATTTAAGGATGAATAATATTTAAACGCGTGAAGATCTAGATGACCTAAGGGGACCTTAAACATGGAAAAATCCAAGCTAAAGTTAACTTGAATACGGTATTTTGATCTCTCGATGTCTTTTATTTTTTTGTTTTGTTGGGTTGCTGTCTAATTGGCTTATTTCAAACTTTTTTTCTCATCATATTGACGTAACCTTATTAGGACATCGGGGCGTTATGAAAAAGAGATACATGCAACGCACTGGAGAAGAAATACAATATACGAAAAAAACAGCTAAAAAAAATATAATTGCATGTTTATACATTTCTTTACTTTTGTTTTTATTGTTTCAATATTCCCTTTTTTCTCTCGTCTATATCATTCATTACTTATGAGTCCTCAAAATAGCAAAAATAAATTTAAAAAAATATTTGTTAATGATATCTATTCATGTAAACTATATTACATAAAGGTAAAAATAAGACATGTGGCGATAATTCTATCACATTTTATACATTTATAATTCCTCTGTTTCTAATCCCGTAAGATATGGCCATACTCCTAAGGTTATATCACGTTATCAGTCTATGTTAAACATCATAATGGGGAAACAGGTTGAAAAGAAGGATGATGATAAAGGTAATACAAATTCAATTTATATAAAAAAAAAATCATGTATATAAAAAGACCTTTAGTAGATTTCTTGACAATTTCTGGGTTTAAAGGCATTGCGATTTTTTGATACAATGAAAAAATGATTGTATAAATGTTTGATGAAAGTTTATCATCGGTTTACAGCAAACCAACGTTCTGTTTGCAGCTTGATACAGTGGTAAGAAAAGTGAATATTATATTGAATAAAATGTTAATGTTGGTCCAATAAAGCAATTATTCCACTTTTGCAGAAAATTTTTTTTTTTTATTTGATGGGTTTCTTATAACATATATCGTATTGTCCTCTATCTGTGTGTTTACTGTACAAACAAAATAAAAGATGGATAAAGTTATGTAAGCATACTACGGTAGGCCAAAAATAACATTTTTAGTTTATCTTTTTAGATGTACCCTGTTGTTGCTCACAGCGTTGGATTTTGGCGTATACTGGATTTTTCGGTTTTATATTTGTCTATGCACTACGAGTTAACTTTAGTGTTGCTATAGTATGTATGGTAAAGTCTTTAAATTCGTCATCATCGAGTAACATCAGTGATATCAATGAAACGTCTTCTACATGTTCTGGCAAAGCTGCAGAACAAGCAGTATTTAATCAGGTATTCAGTGATTAAAGTTTCGATCAATAACATGCTTCAAAAGTAGATATTTTGTTAATGTACTTTTAAAAATGCTACAAAGCTGGTCAAAAGGATAATCCAGTAACTTTTAAAAGCTCATCTCGATCGATCTCACTCCAAGTAATTGGAGTTCAACTTATCACTAACGTGTATTAAAGCCGACAATGGGCAACACAAAGCTTTATTGGACCAATAACATGCGTTAAAAGTAGATATTTTTTTAATGTACTTTTAAAAATGCTACAAAGCTGGTAAAAAGGATAATCCAATAATTTTTAAAAGCTCATCTTGATCGATCTCACTCAAAGTAATTGGAGTTCAATTTATCATTAACGTGTATTAAAGCCGGCAAAAATAAATCTGTAACGCCATCTTTCGTAAGCTCATCGCAAAATAATCATAAACGGTTGCAATTGCAAAACTCATTACCATACCATTTGCATGCAAGATATGATCAAACTTTTCAAACTTTCATTAGATATTCAAAACAAGCAAAACCTTTGGAAAAAAAATCGAAAACGTTGAAAAAAAGACAAACATGAGATTGTTTAAGAATATTTGTCGGAGGAGAACTAATATTATTAATCAATCTATTGATCGCTTTGCAATGAGGCACGTATAAAACCACAGCAACGTCGGGCTGGAATTGAGTCTTCAATCCGATGACTATAACTCCGCAATTCATCCAGATTGACCCAATTTACAGCATCTACCAAACGGATGATTGTTAATTTGTTCTTGTCCTTTATCAGCGTGCGCTGTCTGTCACAGAAAGTTATACAAACACCAATCATTCGGTATAAAAAAATAGATTTTGTCATGTCCGTACAAAACCAAAACACAAAACAACAGAAAACATGTATATTTGACAAAATTTTTGAACTTTCCTATATATTCTGTGATTTCTAAATATGAAATATGGTATTAAGAAGCCGATTGCAATAAGAATAATATACAAGTGAGAGGTTTAGCTAGCTATAAAACCAGGTTTAATTCACCATTTTCTACATAAGAAAATGCCTGTACCAAGTTAGGAATATGACAGTTGTTGTCCATTCGTTTGATGTGTTTGAACTTTTGATTTTGCCATTTGAATAGGGACTTTCCGTTTTGAATTTTACTCGGAGTTCAATATTTTTGTGATTTTACTTTTTGATACACATTCTATTTTTTTTTTTTTTTTTGAATCGAAATGGAAGCAATTCTTGAATATGTTATATTTTTCTTATTTTTTGTGTGAAACATGAAACCATCCATTGGCTTTTTGAACAATTGTTTAAATGATATTTTTGTTTCAAAACACATAATGAATTTAAACAGTTTCTGACCATTACAGCATGCTGAATTTGAATGGGAAAAACAAATCCAATCAACCCTTCTTGCGTCATTTTTCTATGGGTATATTGTTACTCAAATTCCTGGTGGCTATTTGTCCGACAGATTTGGTGGACGACGTGTATTTGGTACCGCCATGGCAGTAGCATGCGTTTGTACACTGGTGATGCCTGTGTGTGCTAGAGTATCCGTAGTTCTGGTTTACGTTCTTCGAGTCCTGCTTGGACTAGCAACGGTAAGATGTTAAACACTATCAATATAAACTGTAAAATTTGTATTACAAAGTTAAATATGAACTGTATAATTTGTATTGCATAGTTAAATACCGAATTCATATTTTAGATATGTGATAAAATTGTCAATAAGACGGAAGAATGTTTACAACTATAGGGCATTATATGTCCTTAGACAATGAGCAAAATCCATACAGTATATCAAGCTATAAAGGGCTCCCGTATGACAAAATTTTATACAATTCAAAATAGAAATTCTACTTCCTAAATTCTGCCAAAAGCAATTAACGAAGAACAAATATGGCAGACAGCAACAAACAACAACAACCGAACTAAGAGTACTTGCAGTTACTGAAAACTAGGATACATGACTTCAGTATTCGTCATAAAAATGTACTAATAATCGTATCAATATAAAACTTTTTCAGGGAGTTTCTTTCCCATCAATGCAGTCTATGTGGGGGCGTTGGGCCCCTCCTTTGGAGCGTAGCAGACTCGTTACTGTTTCTTATCTAGGTCAGTAAAGACATCTCACTTCTTATACAAACTTTGGTCGTAACACATTGTTTACTCTTCAAATCACTGTAATACATTCAACTCTAGTTAAAGATTTTCGTTATTTATTTAAATTGTCTATTTTGCACATTCTTGTACTGCAATGGCTTTGCTATATATATATATATATATACACGTTTGATGTCGAGTATTCGCTTGTGCAATTTGAATATATTTTAAAAGTAAATTTTATTTTTGACCAATTTGGGAAAACAATGAGATGTTGTTTAGGCACTTGAAATTGCAAAACCTAGTAAAACGTGTCAAGCCTCCAAAATATGAAATTTTATTTATACATGAATAGGTGGAAATAAGCTGAACACATAGTGCAGAAGGTTACGTGTAATGTCACTGTAATATGTCATAAACATTTCGTTATTTATATATTAGACCTAAATGATCATTTAACAGATAGTTGTTGGACAAAACAGATATTTGCAAAGGCTGACCAAAAGATATTTAACACTTACAAATATCTTTGTTAAATACAACTTAATTCAAAATGTTTTATTGGGCAAACAGTCATTAGAAGACATTTTTTACCATAAAAAAATTTGTGGGTTCATAAAAAACTATACCAAAAGATAATTAAAAAGAAAAAATAGCGCTTTGAAAATTAAAATGAGTGAGCTTCTTTGGATTCTTAAAACCATGAGTACCTCTTCAAGGTCATGATAAACATGTCGAATTTGTTAGGATTGAAGAGTTTTGCTCATCTATATCAGTAATAATACTAAGTTTATTTGCATCTGTAATTATTGCACTTTCTTTCAGGTACTATGTTTGGTAGCGTAGGAACGTTTGCTTCATCTGGGTTTTTATGTGAATATGGCTTTGATAATGGATGGGGGTCAATATTTTATATTACTGGTAAGTAGTATTGGGCAAGTTTACAGGGATTTTTAAAAAGGTTCTGTTATATATCTATAAATATTTGGCCGACTTTGGCTAAAGTCGTGTGCGTTTTTATCATCCCCCTCCTTTCTGTAGCGGGAGGTATAGTGTGATTGAGGATTCTATCCGTATATCCGGTCGCCCTCTCGTCCTAATTTTGTATCTGCACTTGCTCTAGTCTAAATATTTATGACGTCTTGGAAGGCTTTTTTACTTTTTTGTTGTGCGCTTTCATTTCTGACACGTGTGCACCTCTTATTTTGCTGTTCGATCCGAATTATATTTGGATTTCACAAAGCAAATTATAGCATGCGCGATAGATAGTGTATCATATTGTGAATTTTGCTCGCATCACATCTATTGTTATTATATCCCCGCGTTCAAAAGCGATAGATTTTAGAGATAGAATAATTCGTTCGTCCGTCCCATTAATGTATCCTTTTGTGCACACAGATTCATACGTACATTGTGTATTTTTGCACCTCCTTTTTCATATCTTCATCCGAATGTGTTTTAGTATTATTTTGGCATGACATGGACTTTGCCATATCCGCATATTACTGTACAATACTGTATCAGCTTCTCATTAAACCCCTTAATATTCAGAATCTCCACCATCAAATGTCATTGTGCATCGCCTGTTTTTTTTTCAACTCAATTACTTTCGCCTAAAAAATTCAGGTCTTTGCCATTGATTTTTCCAAGGCTACCCGTTTTGTATCCGTAACTCCTCCTTCTTTGATATGATTTCCAATAATACAACTGTCCACCAGAGTTAAAATGAAGTGATAGTAGGCAATTATAGGCCATCGTACGGCCTTCAACATCGAGAAAAACTCATATTGTAAAGTTTGATATCAAAGGCAAAACTATAAAACTAACGGCATAAATTACAAATAAACAATTTGCGAAAAAAAAAAATATGACAGATATGAACCAACGACAATTACTGTATAACAGGCTACTGACTTGGGGACATGCATATGAAGAATGTACACAATTGTGAGTGATCAACATTCCCCTAATCATGAAAAGTGGTGTAAGAGCACAACATTAGAATAAACTTTAAAAATCAGTTGCAATTGGCTTAACTCCTATCTCTAAAGCCTGTATTATAGTTTATTGAAACTTTCTCAGAAACCTTAACCATATGATGACATTGAGCACCTCTTATTTTGTTTTCTGACCCACATTATTTTTTAGTATTTCCCAAGAAAATCATAGATTTAGGCCAACCCTGTAGTAAAGGGGGGTATCATGTGTGAGCTTTTATCACAGTATCTTTAGTTCGATTTGCATCAAGTCTTAGGTCCGAGTACACAGTTATTTCGTAGTGCATTTCTTTTAGACAATAAATGAAAATTTAAAAAATCCCACCTGCGCTTTCTCAATAATATTTTTACAGTGTGTTGTACTACTTTTGGGACAAATTATATCAAAATTATAGAAAACTTCATCGGCTCTAACTCAAAATATGGACAATTTTATGTTAAGGGGGTCTTGAAATTTTTTGACAGCTTCCGAAGTGCTTATTTTTAACCTTTTTCAGCTGGACCAAATCACTACTTTACTTTAAAATTCATGACCCAAATTTTTTTACAGTGTAATTTCATCCCCCTACTTGCTATTTGAGGCATAAAACATGGAGAAATAAATTTGGAAGGGGTATCAAAAAAATTGGCAAGTAACACACTGTCCACACTAGGGACTATATTTGTGGACAACGAAAATCAAAGGACGATAACTGTGTACTCGGACCTAATAGGATAGAAAAAAATGACCAATCTTAATAAAACTTGGTATGACCAAAGCTTAATAAAATATGAGACTGCTTACAAAGTTTCATGGCAATAAGATATATATTATAGACAGTATGATAAATTCTATATTCAACTTTGCGTGTTAAATTTTGACGTTAAAATTGAAAAATTTCAACTATCAACATTTGGGGCTTTTAAAATTAAAATATTGCAAAAAAATACTTTTAAAATGCCTTAATATATAATATATCATGTATTAAAAGCAATAGAGTACTCATTTGATATATCAGACTTAGCATAATTATTCAAAAGTCAAATTTATATGAGCCTGTGCCTAAAAATGGAGGTTTTCCAATGAAGGTGGGCCTTACATGAAGATGTAATATTTTCCAGCAATTTTAAATTTGGGAAGCTTTTTGGTTATAAATAATCCTTACATATGTATTTAATGTACTTTAAATGGAAAGAAAACTTACAAATAACATATCAGATTAGTTTAAAAGGGTCTTAGGCCAAGTAAGACTGAAAATAATTTAGGGTCAATTTATGCCGTAGCACATATTTACATTTAAAAATGCATATTGAAGCTATAGGAAATAAAAATTTGTGTCTTTTCTATCATTTCTATACTCAGGTGACATGATACAATAAATCTGAGCACAAAAAGACTCTTGCATTCAACTTTTTTTGCAGACGGTACGGTCTGATACAAAGATTTTTCACTTTTTAGTGAAAAACTTGCAGGCAATTTTAGTCTCAACAGGCTTATATTTGAACCACTTGCTATCCTACAGAAGAAAAGAAAGATATTATGTGAAATGAAACAGTTAGAAAAGACATTGTTAAGTGCTTTTTATACAAATTTAGTGAGGTCTTTATTATGGACTTCCACTTTTATGTACCAAGCTCCTCACATTTAACTTGATCCAAACAGGGCGTTAGACGAGGGTAATTTATACAACACATTTTGCACATATTGTCTGAGATAATCTTCTTTTCTGTACATTCAGAGTTCACAAATGAGTAATACAACTGGATTAAAGCATAGAAACACAAATATTGACACATGAAAACCTGTCAGATAGAAAGTCAGAATGCCACTTATGCATCAAAATTGAAAAAGCTATGAAATGCTTATTTTGACCATATAATGCCAAAATTTGTCATTTTTGCAGAAATTCTATCAAATAAAAGTTTAAATCCTTTAGTTTCATGCTATTTGACAACTTGACACCATTAAATCATTCAAGGAAGTTGCCAAAGTACAGATTCTATATTTCCTGATTTCACCTCTTAGGTCCGAGTACACAGTTATTTCGTAGTGCATTTCTTTTAGACAATAAATGAAAATTTAAAAAATCCCACCTGCGCTTTCTCAATAATATTTTTACAGTGTGTTGTACTACTTTTGGGACAAATTATATCAAAATTATAGAAAACTTCATCGGCTCTAACTCAAAATATGGACAATTTTATGTTAAGGGGGTCTTGAAATTTTTTGACAGCTTCCGAAGTGCTTATTTTTAACCTTTTTCAGCTGGACCAAATCACTACTTTACTTTAAAATTCATGACCCAAATTTTTTTACAGTGTAATTTCATCCCCCTACTTGCTATTTGAGGCATAAAACATGGAGAAATAAATTTGGAAGGGGTATCAAAAAAATTGGCAAGTAACACACTGTCCACACTAGGGACTATATTTGTGGACAACGAAAATCAAAGGACGATAACTGTGTACTCGGACCAAGTCATGTTTTTAAACCATCAGGATTATCCTTCATTGTCAAAGTTTTAATTGAACGTCCTATACATTAGAACTATCGCGAGTAAAATACTATATTTTCCAGTAATGATTTGAAATAAATGGACAAAGCTGTAATGCATTCCCGAAAATATTTACCTCGTGGAAGTTCTTTCTTGGTTGTACTAATCATAATCCGTATTGCTGTGTTTGTTTATACGACATTGGCTAGAGGTATTAGGGGGGGGGGGGGGGTTTAAGATATCACAAAACATGTTAAACTCCGCTGCATTTATGCACCTGTCCGAACCTCTAGCCTTTGTAAGTCATGTGTGTTTTATAAATTTGTAACATCACAATTACGTCATTAAATGCACCAATTTCATGAATTTAACATATTCGAACCAAATATAAAGTTGTTTCTTAGTTGTGCACATACTTTTCCAATCTTATATATACCTGAAAGTTGACGTAAAACGAAGAAAAAATCAAGAATTGTACAAAATATACACATTTTGTTAGAGTTTGTTGCCATGGTAAAATAGTTAAATGTGAAGTTTTTTTTTACTTTCTGAACTCCTTGTACATTGGTGAAGATTGGACAGTTAAAAATATGTATGGTACCATTTCAAATTGCACTAATATTTGGGCCAAATAAGGGCCTTATTGCCCCTACTCCTTTCTGAAAAGCTTAATCTTAAGACTCAAGCACTGTAAAAACATTTAATGTAATGTTTAATACCACACTTGCATTTAATTTTGTAATAACCATGAATTTTCGTCATTGTAAGATTACATAGATATAAAAAAAAAACGAAGCACTTTATGAGTTAGCAAAGTTTCTTTTCTTCAAATTACCAGGGTTGGAAATTTAATACCTGAGGCAGAACTGATGTAAATATTAGATAGAGTCATCCGAAATAGTAATCCTGATTAACATCTACACGGCTTTTAATACAGAACAATTGTTTAAGTAGTTCAATCTAGATAAAAGTAAAGTTGGTGAACGTGTAAATGGTTTTGGTTGTAAAAATGTATATTATAGGTGGTTTAGCATGTATATGGGTTGTTGTTTGGTTCATTCTTGTCCGAGATACTCCATCAGACCATCCCTGGATCAGTGAAGCAGAACGAGACTATATAAATGATAGTATAGAATATGACAACACAAAACGGGTACGTGTTTAAATCTGAAGTATCAATAAATGAGGGGATTCCCTTATCCCTGTCCAACCCTTCATAGATAACATACGACTAAGAAGGAAATATATATATATATATATATATATATATATATATATATATATATATATATAACATCATGTTTAATCTAAAATATAAGACGCAGAAGAATATGTATAGATATATACACCATGGCCTAAAAGTTGAAGACTCAAAGTCAGAAGATTACACAGAAAACTAGACTGACAAATATATGTATGCCCTACCGTGTTACTTATTGCAATCGGTTTTAAAAATGAACAAATAGTTACCATAAAATTCAGCCGCAAGTCCAATTATGAGCATTTTTGGTGTCTTATTATTGTTTTAAACCGAAGAAAGTTGGGTTTGTTTTTTAAATCTTACTTAGTCTGCTGAAAATCAAATAATACGTTTGTTAAATTGATTTAAATGTTTTCTAGTATATGTAATTGTTGGCTAAAAGTTTGAAAAAGCTTGCGAGCACAGCAAAGGATACAGCCGGAGGGTAACGATTTATTAAGGACATGTTCTAAAAAAGAAAGGCGCAACTATATAGTTATACAAAATAAACTTATAGCTAACACGGTTTGCCTAATCCATTGTGTTGTTAAAAACTGAATAAATACTACATTTATTTTAGTCATCAACTGTTCCATGGTTGGAAATAGCCAAGTCACCAGCTGTTATGGCTTGTATAACTGCGCATGTCTGTAATAACTGGATAAATTATACTCTTTTAACAAGTTTACCAGCATTTATGAAAGCAGTCCTTAAGTTTAACATCAAAAGTGTAAGTTTTTGTCTTATGTAAGATAAAACGAATCGTCGGCTTGGGGGTTATCCAATTTTTATCAGTTTGATTATGTTCTAATATTCGTTTTGGGTTTTCTTTTTTGTTATTGGATTTTGTTCACATGCACTTTTTCATAAAATGGATATAAAATACAAACCATAAGTTGAAGAACACTGGACAACAACGTGACAAAAAACCTAAAGATTGCGCAACACGAACCAAACTGAAACTTAAGTGAACACAGTGATTGCCAAAGAATGAAATATAATGGCCAAAAAATAGCCTAACATTTGACTTTTTTTGGTGCATTGTTTTACTTTTTTGGGACATTTATATTCAAATTCAAATTGCATTTCATATCTTTATAGAATGGAGTGTTATCTGCTGTACCGTACCTATGTCAAGCTGTGTCAGGGTTCGGAGTAGGACAAATGGCCGATTTTATTCGTTCTAAACAATTATTATCTACTACAGGGACAAGACGCTTATGGAACAGCATAGGTGACTTTTGTATTGATTACTTATTTATTTTCTAATTAAAATACAAAGTTACCCCAAGAAAACATGAACGTGAATACTGAATGTTCTGTCATTATTGAGTTTAATTAATGACTATTAAAATTTAAATTGAAAGGAACATACTATGACTTTATGTACATTATAAAGTTACAGTCATCAGTAAGTGATATAAGTGAAGCAGAAGAAGAAAAAATATCCCTCTAGTATTAATCAATCAAAATCTTGCATTTTAACCTGAAGTTTAATAACAACAAATAATAATCTAATAGTATTAAAATATTGATCAGCATCTAGAGAACAAACCTATTATTTTCTTGTTGCTTATACATGTATTTAATGACTGGAGATAAGCTATAAACATGCATGGGCAATAACTTGAATAAACTTGTTTATTTCAACATTCGATTCAAAATTCAAGTGATTATTTTATTAACCAAATCAGCGACAGTGTCACCACCTAAGAGGGCAAACTTTTTTTTTTTTTTTTTTTTTTTAGTATCATCACCTAAGAGGGCGACTGTCATACATGTGAAAGGTTTAGCTAGCTACGAAACCAGGTTCAATCCACCGTTTTCTACATAAGGAAATTGCCTGTACCAATTCAAGGATATGCCAGTTGTTTTCCATTCATTTGATGTGTTTGAGCTTTTGATTTTGTCATTTGATAAGGGGCTTTCCTATTTGAATTTTCCTTGGAGTTCGGTACTTCTGGTATTTTACTTTTTAACTATCAGCACTTTGTACTACAATAAGTGATCCATTATCAATAAATTTATTGATCGGGTATCGCATACCCGTAATATTAATATGGAGAGCTTTAAAAGGCTGTGCCTTTTCATATCGCAATGAATAAAATATGTTTAAAATTAAATAAATTCATTGATCGGGTATCACATACCCGTACTGTTATTTGATTCAATCCAGATGCTTCTTGCCCGTTTGCAATTTTTTGTCCATTTCCTGGCCATGGCGTGCTCTCTATTTCCTAACCCAATTCAATCCAATAGAATCGTAACAATACTATTAAGCAACCAATCAGAACCAACTATTGTTTAAGTTCTCAGATGACGTGTTGATCGTATGAAGCTAATATTTGTGAAGCAAAGCAATGACCTATTTTGCATCAGAGTCTTACCACAAATAATATCGCCAGTATATAGAATATGAAGCTTTAGACTATTTCATCATAATCATTAATCAAAATACAAAAACTTATCCTGATAAGTTTGAAGAATTGTCTTTTATAGTTAAGGGACAAATGCTTTTTCTATGAATTTGTTCTTCAGTCTTTCGTAGTGATATAGTGCAAATAAATGATTGTTTCTGCAGCCTTTCTTGGAGCAGGCGCCTTTTTGATTGGTACAGGATTTGTGTCATGTGATCAACGCAATATAGCCGTTGCATTTCTCTCGATAGCTGTTATGTTTACTGGATTTAGTAGAGCTGGATACGTCGTTAACCATGTGGACTTTGGCCCAAAGTAAGTTGAATTTTATAAGACAACATAATCATACTGCAACTATTCGACGTCATTACAAAAAAATTCAAAGACTGTCAGAGGTCAAAAAAGGTACACAATTATGAGTATTCTTCAATTGTACATTTACATTGTAATACATTGTAAAACAAAATCAACCTGTTTACACATACATTACTACCTCAATAGCTGAATGTTTTATAATAAAAATTTGCCTACACGAGAAAACTTTCGCTTCAAAGTACAAAATGTAGCACGTATACATAAAATTTGTCTATGGGACACAGATAATGCCCCCGCTGACATATAACGTTATAAAGGAACATAACTCAAAAACGGTAAAAAGTGACGCAACCTAAATTTGAACTTCATCTGTGTTTTGTGGTAATAAGCTTTGTGTATAAGTTTTATACAATTGATTGAGGCAAACTAAAGTTAGAGAACGGAAACTGATTTTGGGACGTACAGACAGACGTACGGACAGACAAGGGTAACACTTAATGCCCTTCCGCCGCGGCGGGGACATCAACAATTGTGTTTATCAATATTTTAGGTGGTCAAAATTCATCAAAAATATAAACTAATACAGTGCATATCAATCTTAAATCATTCATTGCAAAAATATTTCTAAAGGGAACAAATTGTTCGTCATGATGGAAAATCAAAGAGCCCTGAGGGAAAATATGACCAAAATTATTTATACATTGTTGTTTAGTTTTGGTAGGAGAAATTTTGAGAAAGGAGTTTATGTCAATGACTGCCTCGCGGAAGTGTTACTACAATTCATTACACATTTTCAAGTAGTACGCGTAGCTTAAGAAATTATACGGAAAGTGACTGTATATCACTGCTCAAATGCAACGACTGTGGTAGAAATCAACATCCGTTAGCAATATCTTTCAGATTTCAATTTCTATTGTTTTTTTGGTGTTTTTTGTATGTAAGATTCATATTCCTTTAATATACATGCATAGTTATAGCTTTCAATTTTTGAGTTATATATAATCATATAACCTAGATATGCTGGTGTCTTGTATGGTATAACTAATACTTTTGCCACTGTGCCTGGTATGGTGGCGCCTATAGTAGCTGGAGCCTTGACACCAAATGTGAGTACCTTACCTCACTATAAATCTAATTGGCGTTGGCAGTATATAATTCATTAATCGACTCTTTTGGTTGTTTTAATTGTCATTTGATTTAATTGGCAAGACTATAACTGTTAACAGGCAATCAATGACAGAACATTATTGTTATTGTATTTTGGTCATTTATGGGATGAGAAATTAATAAAAGTAACTATACAATACAGAAATGATTAATTTATACGAAAAAAGATCACAGCAAAAAAGCTAATTTCGTTTTACTCGCTACAGAACATCTCCAAATTCATTATTTTTAGGCGAAATAAAATCGTCTTTAATGTAAAAAACGGGTTGGCTACTGAATTAATAGAAATGATCAGACGTTTTTATGAATAATTCAATTACCAGTAGTTTTAACTCTTTAGACATAAATCACTTATTGGAGAAACAACAGACGGCGCACAACCAAGGCATGACATCTATAAGCATGGTTGTGTAATGTATAATGACTGACTTAAGAGAAAGCCAAAATTAACCTATCTTTTAATCACGTTTTAGACCACGCCCGGTGAGATGTCATTTATTGTGGAAAAGCCATATTATATAATGTTAATTCTTTGTGTTATTAAGTATAGAACCAATAATTCGGGCCCGGTCAGCAAGAATATACAGGAAAGAAATACATATTTCCAATAAAATAGTTCCAATACGCATAGCCGTTACTTTCAAAATATGTAACATTGTTCTGTAAATTTTGGTATGAAATGAAAGCTTTTAAAGTCCAGAGATCACTATTGAACCCTTTTATGAATATCTACTCTTAATCAATGTAACAATAATGTATGACTTTGAAATAGAAGGGCTTGTTTCTCAGATCAGAAGTATTTTTGTATGTACTTCCGAATTTCTGGGAACCACTGCGCTCTTTTGTGCAATTGAAGAGAGAGGCGAAAGGTACCAAAGTGATGATGAAACTCATAAGTCGAAAACAATCTGACAATGCCATGACAAAAAACGGAAAACGAAAAAAAAAAAACTAGAAAGCAATGGAAATGCGGTTTTATACAACTACAGTTTATTATGTTTTTAATCATTTTGTACCTGTATCAAATGCAGGATACTCAAGAAGAATGGAGGAACGTGTTTTATGTGTGTGCTGCTTTCTGTGTAGTTGGAATAGTGGTATTTGGATTTTTCTCAAGTGGCGAGATCCAGGAATGGGCGAAGGATCGTGAAGAGATTATTGTTGAAAAGCCAGCACTTGACACAGATACAAAACTATGATAGTATAATGAAGATAGGCAGAACATTTAAAGCAGGACCATTATATTAAAATTGCTAGATTAATAGCGATTTGTTAATTTACAGTTTTAAGATTAAAGGAAAAAAGAGAGATAGGGACCACATACCTGAATGGAAAATCATAAAGTATTATCAAAAACATATATTACACAATGTCTCAGGTGTTATACCACTATCAAAAACATGAAATCTCACAGATCTATGCAACGTCATGAATGGAAGCATTAATAAATATATATGTGAACTTACTTTTTTATAATTAGTCTTCAGACTTCTTGCACTTCAGGAAAACAGAGAAAAATATAAACAAGAAAACTGAAAGTATAAAAATAAGAAGAAGTGGTATGATTGCCAATTAGACAACTCTCCACAAGAGACCAAATGACACATAAATTAACAACTACAGGTCACCGTACGGCCTTCAACAATGAGTAAAACCCGTACTGCATAGTCAGCTTAAAAGCCTGTTTGCTCACCTTTAAAACTTTTGGTGTTTACTGTTTCTACCTATTTATTAAAGTTTTCGAAATAATAGACATTTCATCTTGCTGCCAAAGGGACATTTATGGCTTCTACACTAAAAACTTGTTGATTGTGTAGAACGTCAAAGGTCCATGGTAACGTCACAATAAGTGGAAATGAGTAAACATGAAATCCTTATTTCAAGCCAATTACTTATATTAGGAGTAACCCAATGATTTTTGACATTGTTACAATGATGTAGATCTTGTATAATATATTGTTCGTGCGAATCTTATAGTTTAATATGTCCACTTTTTGATAAAAATGGAGATATCTATATTTCTAAATACAATGGTATATCTCCCTATACAACTATAATACAAGATTTCTACTCCTACAAGTTTTTGTCAGAACTACATTGTTCTATCTCCACATTCCCATTGGCTTATTCATCTAGTAAGTTGAGAGAAAATATGTTTAGAGTGTTGTATCTCCACTATTTTTCGGGTATTTTTACTGTAAAATAATTGTTATCAAAATTATCTTAGTAGAAATATGCTTGAATTGTTTGCACGGCTAAAACTCGCTCTATGAGCAATTCTTAGCAAATCCAGCAGTCAAGAATTGGGGATATTACACAGTTGAAAAATCCATGGTCTATCTTCCATAGAAATATGGGGATACATTTCTAAAACAACATTGTTAAAAGCAAAATGTTCTATCTCCAAAAAGGGGGATGCTTTATTATCTAAATTGCTTTGTCTATTAAAAAACAATCAAACAAAGAGTTACTCTGCATGTACGTAAATCGATTCTTTTATAACTTTTTATGATTCAGTCAAATATTAAAAGATATTGCACTTCTAAACTTTAGCTTAAATTTTTACTACTATTACCAAATGGGAAATACGTCATTATTGGATTCAAACGACATTATTGTTGATATGTTTGCTATTTACCGTTTCTAACTATATATTACAGTTTTCGAGGTAATAGACACAGATCATAACTCCAACAAAGGACCAATTGAGATTTTTCGCCTTGTTGAATGTATTGTAGATCTGATTTTGATGAACAATTTTGCTTTTTCCTCTCTTTCTATTATAGTCTATACAAAGAATGGATAAATCGTCTTCCAAGAAAAAAATAACTAATATATGGGGTCAATTTACGATTTCGACCATGTTGCCTTGTGTGTAGGTCTTACTTTGCTGAACAATACTACTATTCGAAGATTCTCTCCATCTTCTATAGTTTCCACGAAATAATGCAGACAAGGTAAACATCATCATTCAAGGGCATTTTAAACTCCTATAAGAGGCCAATGTTGACCTATTTGTAGATATTTAATTCCAAAACTAAACGAGACTTACCTTAGTTTTGACCCATCTGCTAATTGTTTCTCTTGAGACTGGTTTAAACGGTTTTACATAACTTATAAAAAGCTTCTGACTATTACCGCGAGCTTTAGCTGTCCTCATCAAATATTCTTTTAAAACAGTAAAAACACACAATCTCCTATCTGGAGGATAGGCAAAAAGTTCAACAAAATGTACATTAAACCCAGGTCTATTCTGTTTCAATAAACCTGAATAAAACAAGGTATAACTATCCTTTCCTTTTACTAAATTGTCTAAACATAGCAAAAATAACGACTGTGTCCTACAAGCCGTGGATAAAACAATTAACATTACTAACTTCAATGTTAAATCTTTCAACGAAATATATTTTACGGGAGATAACTTCCGTAAAAAATTAAAAACTTTAGATACGTCCCAAGTTTCACTATATCTAGGTTCTGAAGGTCGCAAATTATATACACCTTTCAAAAATCTGATGATTGTAGCGTTAGAGCCAACTGTCACTCCATTAAACATTATTCCTAAGGCTGACAAAGCAGATCTTGCACAATTTATCGTATACTATAACTTAATCCTTTATCAAAAAGCACTGTTAAAAAATCTAAGACTTCATTTAAAGCTGGTTGAAGTGTATCAATTTTCCTTTTACTACAGAAACGGAACCATTGCTTGACATAAGTTGAGTATTGCTTTTTCGTACTGTCTCGCCAAGATGCCAAAATGATTTTGGAAGCCTTGTCTGAAATGCCTTGGTTTTCCAAATATTTCCTGATAACCGACAAGCAAGAAACTTTAACTGATTGTGAAGAGAATGAATCTTTTTCGTTCCTGGAATGGACAGCAGTCTTTTCTTTCGAGGCAACATTTTTGGAAAATCTATCAACATTTCTAGTAGTACTGGGTACCATGTCTGAGTCGGCCATAATGGTACAATCATCAGAACCTCTGCACTGTCTTTCTGAACTTTCTGTAGACATCTACTAATTAGAGAAAAAGGGGGAAAAAGATAATAAAATACCTCATCAGACCATAAAATACTAAAAGCATTTACAAATACTGCCTCAGGGTCAGGTTTCCACGACGAGAAACTCTCAACTTGACAATTTATTCTAGAGGCAAATAAATCATGGCCTGGAGTACCCCAAATGTCCACTAATTTATGGAAAACTTGTTTATCAAGCATCCACTCTAAATGATCATCAATTTTTCTTGATTCAACATCTGCAGCATTATATTTACCAGGAATATGTTCTACTGAAATCCATATATTTCTTTCAATACACCAGACCCACAAAAGTTTGGTTATTTCATTCATTTGCATGGATTTCATACCACCCATATTGTTAACATATGCAATTGCACTAGAATTGTCACAAAAAATCTTCACATGTATATCTGAAATTTTTTTACAAAAAGCCTTCAGAGTATAAGAAATGGCTAACAATTCCAGAACATTTATGTGATAAGTTTGCTCAACATCATTCCATCGTCCTTGAATTTTTTGGTCTTTAAATAAAGCACCCCAGCCTTTTAATGAGGCGTCAGTTGTCATAGAAAAATCTGGATTTTTCCTATTAATGACTCTTTTCTGACAATATAAGTTTTCAACCCACCATTTTAAATCTGCTTTCATGGCAGATGTTATAGTCATATTTTGATCAAAATTTCCAAATGACAATTTTAAAGCCTGAATCTTTTCAATTTCTAAATTTCTGTAATATAAATGACCAAAATCCACAGCTGAGAGAGTGGATATTAACAAGCCTATAACATGGGCAACTAATCTTATACTAGCTGTATTATTCTTGATCAGATTCTGACATTCTAATACAATTTTTTCTACTTTTTCTTTTGGCAACACAACTGTCATAGATACAGAATCAATAATATTGCCTAAAAAAACAATTTGTTTTGCAGGCTTGAAAACAGATTTTCTTTCATGAATTATAAAACCAAGCCACTCCATTAAATCATTAGTATTTTGTACATTTTCTATGCACTCATCTTCAGTATCTCCAAGCAAAAGAGAGTCATCAATATAAGCTACATTCATATAACCAAATTGCCGTAAAGTTGCAAAAACAGGCTTCATTAACTTTGTAAAGATTCTAGGTGCTGATAGCAAACCATTTGGTAAACAAGTATATTGAAAAATATTGTTTTTCCATATAAAACGTAATAGTTTCTGATGTTCCTCTGCTATAGGAACAGAATAATATGCATGACGCAAATCAATTGAACTGAAAAAACAATTTGGTTTCACCAATTTTAGAGCCATTTCAAAAGTATCCATCTTGAAATGATGGGGAATAATAAATTTATTCAACTCTTTTAAATTAAGAATTACTCTATGCTCATTTGTATTTTTCTTTGGAACTGTAAAAATTGGAGAGATATATTGATCTGTATCAAAATTAACTTCCACTATTACACCCAAATTTTTCAAATTTTCTATCTCATCATTTATAATTTTTTCTTGGCCTTTATCAAAAATTCTTTGATGTGGTGTGAGACTTTGAGTGGGTATTGAATTATAAATAAATTCAAGGTGACAGTGTTCAACTGTATCCAAAATAAATTTATCAGAAGTAATTTTTTGCCAGTTTTCAACATAATTTTTCAATCTACCTGCTGTAAAAGTTTTGATATCAGAGACACCTGCTAAACTTACCTGTTTAGCATAATTTACTTCCTCAGGAAACTTGGAACACCTCTCAAGTTTTTTGAAGCACCTTGATCATTTGAATACTGGCCTCTACCACCGTAACCACGGCCACGACCACCTCTGTATCCACCACGACGAGAGCCTACACGGCCTCTACCAAAACCTCGTCCTCTACCAAAACTACCTCCTCGAGAAAAACCATTTCCTCTACCTCTAGCATAATTGTTATTATTTAAATTACGACCAAGTCTGTTCATATCTTGAATTTCTTTTGACTTTTGATGGACATTGTCACCATAAAGCATGTCAGTGAAAGGAATTGAGGGTGAACTCAAGTGATGATATTCAGGACTTAAATCAAATCTTTGATATTCCTTTCTCTTTACATTTGTCATCTTGTTATATTGTGACAGTAAAGCTAACGAATCAATCCCCAAATCTATGCAAGACTGCATTTCTTGTTGACAATCGTCACCCAAGTCAGGTTTTAGCTTACACAACATGTTTAACAATTTTGTAATGTTACAAGATGCTTTTACAACAGTTTCTTGATGCTGTTGTATAACTGAGTCAAAGGACCTAGTTTGAGGAGAGAGTAAATCCCAAATAAGCTGATAAACTCTAGTTCTTGTAAGAGAAACACAATTCTCTGGTCTAGCCACTGATTTCATCAGTTCATTGTATTTTTCATCAGAAATTCCCTCACGGAAAAATTCATTAACAGTAT